CAGAATGGATAATATGTGTTCAAGGAGGACAACCATCCTGATTTGCCCTGAACACAAGGATTTCCTGAAATGTGGGACATTCAGCACTAAAATCGGGACATATCATCACAACCTTGAAAGGCAAAGAATTTGGTGATGTGAGAGTAGAATCAATGACGCTGAGGTTGGGAGGGCCATCAACTCTGGCCACTTGCTGTGCTGTTTGACTACCCACCCACAGAGGTTTAAGTGTTGGAAGTTTGGTCCTTAGGGTGGCAGGTACTGGGAAGCAGAGGTACCAGTAGGAGGTGGGACCTAGGTTACTGAAGGGGGTTGTCCTTGGAAAGGGGCCCTGGTGTCCTGAAGTGAGTTCTTGAAGAGCCAGCTGTTATAAAAGCCTGAGCCTGGCTCCACCCAGGCTCTCTCTGACTTCTTTCATGATGTGATTTCTTCCTCTTGTAGGCATTCCCTGATACAGGAATCTACCATGAGATCCTCACCAGAGGCCAAACCAATGGGGTTGCCCAATCTTTGGACTTTGAGCCTTCAAGTCTGTGAATAAAGTAAATCACCTTTCTTTATAAGGTTAGCCTATCTTGAGTATTTTGTTATAGCAACAAAAAGCTGAGTAATCCAGCACTCAAAGTGTGATCCAGCAACATTGATATTTTATACTGAGAGTGTTAAAGAAACACAGCAATAAAGAAACACAGGATCTCAGGCCCCACTCAGACTACTAAACCAGACTCTTGATTATAATAATTTCTCCAGGAGACTCTTAATACCTTTAAGGTTGACAACCACTGCAGGGGCCAGCGTTGTGGCATAACAGGTAAACCTGTCATCTATGATGCCAGCATCCCATATGGTCACTGGTTCGAGTCCTGGCTGCTTCACTTGTCATACAGCTCCCTACTAACAGCCCAAGTGTTTGGGCCCCTGTCATCCATGTGGGAGACCTGGAAGAAGCTTCTGGCTTCATCCTGGCACAGTCCTGGCCATTACCACCATCTGTGGAGTGAACAAGCCGATGGAAGATCTCTCTCTCTCTCTCTCTCTCTCTGACTCTGACTTTGTGACTCTGACCTTCCAATAAATAAATAAATCTTAAAAAAATTAAAAACAGAAGCACTGCAATAAAATACTGGTGCAAAGAACTCCACTCCATTTGTGAAGTGTTTCCTAATGCCGTGGTTCTCTAACTCCTGTGACGCTCAGTGGCTCTCTAAAAGTGACACCTGAAGAATCAGCTTTACCTGGAATTGGCTGAAATGCAAATTCCAGAGCCTGACCCCACACCTATTAAATCAGAAGCCTGGAGGAATCATCTGTTTTAGTTTCCAAGTTATTCTGATGAATCCTGAGGTTTGAAAAAAATCCTCATTTTAATGCCAGGCAATTGCTATACCTATGCACAACCAGCGAAGAGCTAGTAGTGACACCCTGTGGAGCCAGGGGAAGTTTGCATCTTTTCTGCTTTTCTCCCTTGATAGGATAAAATCATGCACTCAAAATACAGTGCTGATTTCTTTTCCTCCAAACTCTTTGTTTGAGGATCCTGTACCCTTTTTTGTCAAGCAGACTAGATTATTTCATCCAAAAAACATTTATTCATTCACCAGCAACTAGGTGGACAGTGTTTTGAAAGAGGTAGTACAGAAGACAGAAGGCACATTCAACTGGCCCCACAGAAATCTATTGAGTTATGGCTGTAGCAGCACCAGCAGCCATTAGTGTTTGCTCTGACTGGTACTGCGCTCTTGTGTTCCAGAACTCACTCATTCATATATGCTTGAGATGCATTTGCTGTAGCATTATTTATAATTTTTATAATATATTTTTTATTAATTATTTTATAATTATTTATAATTTTTAAAAACATTTAATTATTTGAAAGGGAGAGAGGGTGTCTAAGTGTGGGGCCAGGTCGGGGAGAGGATCTTTCATCCTCTGGTTCATGCCCCAAATGGCTGGTTGAAGCCAGGAGACTGAAGCTTCATTCAGGTCTCCCACATGAGTGGCAGGGGCCCAAGTATGTGGGGACATCTTCCACTGCCTTCCCAGACATGTTAGCAGCAAGCTAGATAGGAAGTAGAGCAACTGGGACTCAAACAAGCACTCAAATGTGGGATGCTAGCATTGCAAGCAGTTACATGCTTACCACAATGCTGTCCCTGTTACTCCATTTTATAAGGAAAGTAATGTGATGGTTGACTTTAGTTTATGCTGTTAATCACATAGCAGTTCTTAAAGTGATCGCCTAGGATTCTTATACTAAAATCACTTAGTATGCCTATTTCAAGTGTAGAACTCTGAAGACCCATCCAATCAGATTTTATACAGAGCGATTAGAGAACTTCTGTTCTACACTATATTTCCTATATCAAAATGTTGACTTTCATGGAAGTGGGTGTTTAGGCTCAGGTAAGATCCACATGTCCCACACTGGAGTGCCTGAGTCCAATTACTAGCTTTGGCTCCTGATTCCAACTTCTTATTAATGCAGACCCTGGGAGGCAGTGATGGTGGCTCAAGTAATTGGGTTCCTGCCACTCATTTGGGAGACCAAGATTGATTATCTGACTCCTGTCTCAGGCCACAGCCCAGCCCTGGCCATTGCAGGTATTTGAGGAATGGGATTTCTTCCTCTTTCTCTCGGCCTCTCAAATCAATCAATCAATCAATAAGAATATTTCAAAGTATTAGGGATCTCATTCTGTCAAAGACATAGAAAAGTGAGGAAAGACAATCAAGTTTGTACTTTAGGGGAATCTGTGGTGGCAGTAAGATTGGATCTGGGCAAGTTTGTGGTAGTAGGGACTTACTTTACAGGATTATCAGAGAAAAAAGGATGTCATACTGAGACAGCAGTGTCGGGGGGTGTGCACTAGGTTCATTTCCTAAACGACTTCTCATTGTATGTTATCTCAAATTCTTGTCTCAGGAAAATTCAACTTTCCAAGTTACATGCAATCTGGACTAGACGTCCAGAACCGATTACTAAGGAGGTAATGTCAATACAACTATTTTCTAAGAGGCTGACATAGTCACACAGAGGGTTAAGCTACCTCTTGCAATGCTGGCAGCCGATATCAAAGTTAATGTGCCTGGGAAGGCAGCAGTGGAAGACCAGGATGGAATTCCTGGCTCCTAGCTTCAGCCTGGCCTGGCCTTGCCCTGGCCATTGTGGCCATTCGGGAAATGAAGCAGCAGATGGAAGATCCCTTTGTCTCTTCCTCTCTCTTTTCCAAATATTTAAAAAAAATTTTTTTTTAAATTCAAGAGGCATAGGCTGGCGCCGTGGCTCACACTAGGCTAATCCTCCGCCTGCAGTGCCGGCACACCAGGTTCTAGTCCCGGTTGGGGCGCCGGATTCTGTCCCGGTTGCCCCTCTTCCAGGCCAGCTCTCTGCTGTGGCCAGGGAGTGCAGTGGAGGATGGCCCAAGTGCTTGGGCCCTGCACCTCAAGGGAGACCAGGAGAAGCACCTGGCTTCTGGCTTCGGATCAGCGCGGTGCGCCGACCACAGCATGCCAGCTGTAGCGGCCATTGGTTGGGGTGAACCAAAAGAAAAAGGAAGACCTTTCTCTCTCTCACTGTGCACTGTCAAAAAAAAAAAAAAAAAAAAAAAAAAATTAAAGAGTCAGAAGGATGGAGATATATGGATGGAGAGAATTCCCACTCACTGGTTCACTCCCCAGGTGCCCCCAGCATCAAAAGCTGATTCTGGCAGAGGGTAGATCCAGGGGCTAGCAATGCAATCCGGGTCTTCCATGTGAGGGTCAGGGACCCAACTACCTCAGCCACTACCTGCTGCATCCCCGGGTCTACATTAACAGGAAACTGGAGTCAGGAGCTAGAGGGGGGTGCCAAACATAAGGCACTCTGAGTCTTATGTGTCTTAACCACCATGCCAAATATCAGCTCAAAACAAAAATTTTTTTTAAGGATAGTAAATACAGGGTCAAGGTGGAATACCAGAATGTCACCCTTTCAGTAAAATTTTAAAATACTATTCAGCATGTTTCAACTCCAAACATATTTTTCCTAAATTCTGACTTTTGTCGTCAAGCACTTACTGTCACTTTAAAATTTTCAGCCTGTTTCAGCCTTTCAAATCCACAGCTATTTTAGCATTGGTTATGCAAGTTGTGTTATGCCCCCTGGTGGCAATATGGATAGGAAGATGAGAAGCATATTTCAATCAAAGGCAGAGTGCCAACTTAATTGAAATAGGTGGCAGGCCCTGAATTTGAAATGGAATTTCATATAAAACTTTTCTGGTCTTACTAAAAATAGGAAACATCCCGTTAAACTAAAATCAGATGTATTAACTTCAGCCTGCAAGGTGCATATTTCAATTTCCCTTGCTTTGTCACAAAATGGATTAGCTCCTTGAAATATGTCAGTTGAACTTGAAATTAAATATTTGCTCTACATATGGCTAAGTAGCTGAACTCATAAAAGATAACTAAAGTCTGGATCAGAACACTGTTTCCTTCACAATCAGGCCTCAACAGAGCCCACATATAGGGGATATCATTTGCTTTTTGTATTCATTTCCCTGTCTTAAGAAAAAGTAAAAAGGTTACATGCCTCAAATACTCACTTTCAAGAAGGCTCTGGGAATAAATTCTAAATTTTTAAATTTATCCCCTAATCAAAATAGCCAAATATAAATTTTCATGTGGATTATATTGAGGGCCTCTTCAATAAGGCTTTTGGGGACAAAAATAGGTAAGTGAAGTTATCAAGTTACTATAACATGTGCTGATATTTAGTGTGAAAAGAGTGTTTCTTGCTGAGTTTGGATAAACTTGGCCTCCAGGCTCTGTCATTTGATCACAGAAAAGAAAAAAAAAAAAGGCCATTTCTCAGGTAAACATTTAAGTTACTATCAACTGCATGGTACCATGCTAGACCTGAAATTCTAAAACAGAAGCACTTACTGGTCTCAAGTGAAAAACATATATAAAAATTCTGATACAAATTATAGTTAAAATAACCACAAAAAATGAAAAGCTGGCAGTTAAAAATTTTTAGTTTATTCCATAAGGAGAAAGGTTCCCTACAAAATATTTAACAGTTCCATTGAAGTAGTTACATCCAAAAAAGTTAACAGGCATTTATGTTCTAACAATGGATGTTTCAGCAACCTAACAGAAACTGAAACGTTTTATTTTACTGTTAAGTAATTAAGTACTAATAGGCTATCTGTGCCTATTGGGTGCTGTACAAGTTCTCAAACTTTGGAATCAGATTCGATATTGCTGTCTCATTATCTGTCCCATAAAAGTTTTGATTTTAATATTTGGGTTTTTTTCTTTACAGCAAATGCCAAAACCCTAGCCTCACAAACATATGAATTGAAAAGGGATATAAGGCAGCCTAACAACGCAACTGAACTATGGTGAGCTATGGTGTCTGACAGATATGAAGTACTGTTGTTTCCTTTGGAAATTTAAAGTATTCCACAGTTCCTCTTTCAGTTAAAAATTGGCACACTTGCAAGACAGTTTGAAAGGTTAAAAAACTTTGCACAGATCACTGATACAAACCAATCTGCACATCAGAATACTCTGATGTCTCTGTAGGTGGCTTTGAGACTGGGAGCCTGGTACAACTGCCCCAAGTTCATCAGGTGACAATGAGAATACAGACTGCAACATGAGCAAATGAGAAGTGAAAAGTAGATGTGGGCACATTAATCCACAATTCTTGCTACTAGACGGATAAAGGGAGGGAGATTAACATTCTAACAGTGAATGAGTTCCTTTTCCAACACAGGCAAAAGCATAGTGATACAGTTCACCACAATGGTTTTAAATTTTTGATAATCATATTTGAATATAATTGGTTTCTCTTGCAATCCTGTACTTTTTTTATGCGTGAAGAACATTATTCTGAAAGGGCCCGCTGGGCTTCACCAGAAGATTGCCTTCGTAAGATTTAGACACGTACTGGGCATTGAATATACAAGACTGAAATTCAGGAGGTATATGACAAATGTACATAAATGTAGAAGTTGTATGAATGTTTAATTCATGACTGAAGCCACAGCTAAAAGTTTTCAAGGAGCATTATAGTGGGTGTGACAAGGAAGGTCAAGGGAAGAAGCCAAGATGACACAAATGCTTAGGAGGTGAACAGAAAACAAAGCCCTTGGACGGAAAAAGTTAAAAAGGACAGAGAACTAAAAGAACCAAGGCAGTGGTGTTTCTGAGACAAATGCGAAGTATTAGATGGGTAGAATTGAGGAAGATAAAGCAATAAAAAGCATCCACAGAATTTTAGGAACTAGGAATTTTCTGGTGATCTTAGAAAAGTTCACAAGATTACTATGGCTAAAAATAACAATGTCATGATGAAATGATGAATGGGGAACGAAACACTCTCAAGAAATTTGGTTATACGGAGTACGGGGAACAGCGCAGTCACTAAAGCTGGAGAAAAGTCCATTTTAAATTTAAGATGACAGAGGTACAGTCATGTTTTATGCCCATTAACTGGCCTCACTGCACGACTTTACTATGGATCAAAATCTGTGATTATTTAAAGAGAAGCAAGAAAGGGACAGGGCAGTGGTTTGACTGCTTATCCCCTTCTGTTCTTCCCAATCCAGGGCCTTTCCCCTCACTGAAAACCTCTAACCACATGAACATTTTATTAAGCCTGACAAAAGGAAAACCACCTGGAGCTCCCATGACTGTCATACTAACAGATAATAGGAGCTGAGTGTCTACCATGCCAGACACTGTTCTAATCCGATTCTTCTCATAAAAATCCTAATAGCATCAATGAAGAAATAAACACTCAAACTTTCTCTTTCACATAATTACATTAGAAAGTGTGGTATAGTGGGACCATTCCGGACTTTGGTATCATACAGAGCATGGTCAAATTTTGGCTCAGCTATTTAATTTTTCAAGATCTTCATAGTGACATCACCTATAAAGTAGTAATAATAAAATCTACCTAAAGTTGCTTAAGGGAGAAATAAATGATATCCCAACTACAGTGTTTATAGCACAGTCAGGGCTCAATAATGCCACAACTCTGTATGTCAACAAATTAACAACAGCCATGAAATTAACAGAAAAATATATATATATACACATTTCATAAGTACTGGTTTTTGTTTTGCTCCTCCTACTACTGACAATAAGGGGGGAAGAATAGAGACAGGAATAACTGCACAAGTTACTTTAATTATAAATTAATAAAAGTCCACTTTAAATGCATATCTAATAACAATTTATATATGAGTATATAAAAACAGATTGAGCCAACATTATTTGTTACTTCTGATACTTCTAGTAGTTTCAACTTCACTCTTCCCTTTCCAAACAAAAAAATTAAAAGATGGCAAGCCATTTACAAAGACAAGTGACGTTGCTAATCAGGTTGACATTCTGAACATCCTCCTCTTCAGTTCAGCTGTTTTTTCATCTATCCTATCATAACACTCCTCTGTTGCCTTTTCAATGCCTTCATGGTATTTCTCCAAAGCAGTTTTCAAGTTTAGAAATATTTCCTAAGTGGAGAATGAAACAGAGTAAGAATTATTCCATGTAACAACCTAAACTAAAAATAAATTAGAAGAATTTCATTTGTATTTATTAATATTTTAAAGACTAAACTTTCATGCTTCCACATGTGCATGTGTGCCTGCTGTTATTAAACATTCATTCTACTGCAAATTCTCAAGTATTTATGGTAACTGAAAAACTGATTTTAAAAAAAGTAGAAAATAGAAAAAGAGTGGTTACCAGAACCTAGGAAGAATATAGGGGAGGGACGGATGGAGAGAGGATGGCTAATGGGTACAGGGGTACCACTGGATGAGGGGAATAACTTATAAAGTTCAGTAGCACAGTGGGATAACTATGATTGACAACAACTAACTAAATATTTCAAAACAGCTACAAGAGTGGATTTTAAATATTCCCAATACATAGAAATGATAAATGTCTGAGGTGATAGATATGCTAACTACTCTGATCTAACCATTACACATTACATACAAGTATTAAAATGTCATACTATACCCCATAAATACTTACAATGTGCCAATTAAAATATATTTTGAAAATTCATTCTGTAAACTATAATAATACATTAAAAAAGTTTGTTACTTAGAACAAAGTGGAGACATGGGATAATAGCTAGGGCTGCAAGGAATTCAGAATAAGCTTATAATTACCAAGGAAAAAATTTTACTTTTGAGCTTTCATGTTAAATATCTAGATTATTAAGGATAACTATAACTTCTACATTTGACCCTAATCATCATTCAAAAGATGTGTAAAGATTTAATAAGTAATCTATAAGACTGAAAAATATATTAGAATCTTTTAGAGTTGTTTTAATAAATAGATCAGGTATTTCTACTTAAGCAATAATGAATTTTCATATAAACCTACATGGATATGCTAAGAATTAAGACAAAATGAGAGCTGAACAATTTTTAAAGATTTAATGAAATCCGAACTAAATTATTCTATGTTGTCTTTTATCTCATACTCATCGAATATAATGTTGATCCTCTATTCATTTTTCTTAGACAAAACAATTCGTAAACAATCTCACAAGAAACAGTGGTATTCTGTAAGTTTTTTCCAATGAAATCAAATAGCAGCCCTTTTCTAACAGGAGAAGAAAAAAAGTAGTAAATAGATACAATGTTCTCAAAGCACCTCTCTCATTAACTTTTTTTAACCTATAGTTTTGTCTACTACTTATCTTAGCTAAATCCTAATATGGACACTATCAGGTATTGAATAAATTAAATAATTTAATATAGTATGAATTCACTGTGTTCCAAAAAACAATACTATTTCTAGCAACTCTGCCACCTATGCAAGTCTGAGAACTATCACTCTAGATTAAGTGAATTAAATAGATGTATAAGGCCAAACACTCAAAAAATCTAAACATTGGTATTAAATCATAATACAAACTAGGGCATTTTTAGATTCCAATGTCTAAGCAGGCATCAAATTACTATGAATATGACAGAATATGAACCACTGGGAAAACAGAAAATTTCTGAAAGTATTTCTTAAATCATGTAGGAAAAATAAGATGAATTAGTTGTTGGCTTGTGTGAATGCCATTTTTAAAAAATCAGCACATTTAGCAGTTATAAATCAATTTAACCTCCTAGTTCTATTGGGGTATATGTTTATTCACAGTAAAAAGAAAGTTGAATAAATTTAGTAAAAAGCTATTACTTGTGAAAAAATATCAAAACTAAGTGTGGCTAAATAAGGATACATGATCTATAAATATATAAAGCAACCACTTAAATATGCCCAAAGGAATACTCTCCTGAGAATAAACATGAGCCTACTTCCAATGAGTCAATTCTAGAGGTAGGGCCACAATAAATGAATGAACCAACCAAACCCAATTCCTGTGGCAAGTCCGCAGAAGCAAACATCTGAAGTCCTAAGCTAACCAAAGCATTCAGAGACCTTCCCATGCTAATAATGAACAACGAGTATCACAATGAAGACTGGGCAAAGTAGGTTAGAACAACGTAGCAGTTGAACAATTGTACCTTAAGGTTTGATCAATTACTCCATGCCAAACTGAAGCAAAAAATACAATGCAGTGAAGAACTTAGTTCTACTCAACATGTTTATCTTGGAGAAAAAGGAATGGAAATCAAGATTGCAGGTTACATTACAAAATGAGAAATAATGAATGTGAATGATAGATTTAAACTGATTTTGCTATTTTGTAAATATAGGTTGAATAAGTAAAACAAAATCTTAAAAACCCACTATTATTTCTTAATAGTAAAATCCTGAATAAAAAGTAACAGTCACTGGGGCCAGGGTCAGGGCACAGCAGGTTAAGCTGCTGCTATGACACTGGCATCCTACATGAGCACCAGTCAGAGTCCCAAACTCCCAATCCAGCTCCTACTAATGCACTCAGGAAAGCAGCAGAAGATGGCCCAACTGCTTGGGTCCCTGCCACTCATATGGGAAACGCAGATGGAGTTCCAGGTTCCTGGCTTTGGCCTTGTCCAGCCTTGGCTGCTGTAGTCACTTGGGGAATTAACCAAGTGGATGGAAGATTTCTCTCTGTAACTCTGCCTTTCAAATAAACTAAATCCTTAAAAAAAGTAATAATCAGGTTAAAAGCATGGTTAAAAAAATCTTAATTCAGCAGAATTCTATGTGTAAGACAGAGCTCCTTTAATTGATCATAAGCTCAATGAGTCTAAGGCAAGCTGCTGCTACTAAAAATCTAATTCAATATTATGCTTAACAAAAGAATTGTACTTTGGGATTAGCCATACCATTATTTTGGATGATTGAATTTAGCACTAGCTTTTAGATTTCATTCTTATTTACTTATTTTTAATTTTTTTTAAAAAGATTTATTTCTTTATTTGAAAGGCAGTGACAGAGAAAGAGGGACGGAGAGAGGAAGGGGGGCGGAGAGAGAGAGAGAGAGAGAATCTTTCAACTGCTAGTTCACTCTGCAAATGCCCCCAAAAGCCAGGTTGATGCTGAACAGGCTGAAGCCAGTAGCCAGGAACTCCATCCCGATTGCCCACGTGGATAGCAGGGGTCAAAGCACTTAGGCCATCCCACACTGCCTTCCCAGGCCATTAGCAGGCAGCTGGATTAGAAGTGGAGCAGCCAAGACTTTAATCAGCACTCTACATGAGATGCCCACGTTACAAATGATGCCTTAACCTGCTATCCCACAATGCTAGGCCCAATTTTTTAATTTTTTTGAGAGGCAGAGACTGAGAAAGAAAGGCAGATAGATACAGAGAGTTCCCAGCTGCTGGTTTGTTCTCCAAGTGCCCTCAATGACCCAGCCAGGCTGAAGCCAGGAGCTAAGAACTCAAGCCAGGTCTCCTATGTGAGTGGTAGGAACCCAATTACTAGAGCCATCATCACTGCCTCCCAGGGTCCGTATTAGCAGGAAGCTAGAGTCAGGAGCCAGAGCTGAGTATTGAACCCAGGTACTCCAACACAGGACATGAACATCTTAACTGCTAGGCTAACTGCTGTCACAGAGTTTTACATTTCAAATGGAATAATGATAAGTAGTAAACAGAATAGAAAAGACAGTAAAAAAGATAGTAATGAATCTGAAAATCAACCTATCTAGAGAATGGCTAGAAAACAGGCTAACTAACCTAAATAATATAAATTTGAAAGTACCCATGATTATTATCCACAAATGTCTGAGGAATTATTAAGTTGAAAAGGCTACAGATTTTTCCAAACAGTTCTGAGTTCAATAGAATACAGAAATATTTAAATTCAAAATAAAAAATAACATTTTTACTAACTAAAGCTGTCCTTGTAGAACAGCATGTACAGTTTTATAACTCTATACCACTGAAAACAATTAAGAAGAGCCTGTCAGAACTTCTCAAAAGCCATGCTAAAAAAAAATACAAATTCAGGGGCCCACCTGGTAGATTCTAAATAATATATTTGGATTGGAGTTTGTTCATTTAAAAATTCCCCATTCAATTTGAATACAAAGAATTTTAAGAAACATGCTAGTTGGTCTTTCAATTCTTTTTTTTTTTTTTTTTTTTTTTTTTTGACAGAGAGTTGGACAGTGAAAGAGAGAGAGAAAGGTCTTCCTTCTGTTGGTTCACCCCCCAAATGGCCGCTACAGCCAGAGCTATGCCAATCCGAAGCCAGGAGCTTCTTCCTGGCCTCCCACGTGGGTGCAGGCACCCAAGCACTTGGGCCATCCTCCACTGCCTTCCTGGACCACAGCAGAGCTGGACTGGAAGAGAAGCAACCAGGACTAGGACCCAGCGCCCATATTGCATGCTGGCACCACAGGCGGAGGATTAACCAAGTGAGCCATGGCACTGACCCCAGCCTTTCAATTTTAAAAATATGCATGGAAAGTGTATTACATATAAGGCACCATCCTAGGCACGGTTTTATATGACACACTAACGTTAACAAGACATGGTTGTTACTGTCAAGAAATGTAAAATTGCTATTGGTGAGACATATACACTCCCAACAGGTTGGTAGTGTTATACAAGGTAGACACAGGCATCTTTCACAACTGCTAGACAGATATCTCAAATTTGAATTACTAACTAGTTATTAATTAATAGCTGGTTTATTAACTGTACTTAGACTACATGAAGACACATAAGTATTTGTTGACTTGGATTATGTAAGAGGTAGGATCAGATAATCACCTAACATCTTTCTAACCCTCATTCTAGAGTTAAAGGGCCAAAGACTGAGTCTTGATGACTAACCAGTTAAGGGGCAGGAAAAAGATAGATAGATGGAGTATAAAAAGAAAAGAACAGAAAAAGTCCAACAATGTATTGGGCAGGCCATGGAAGAGAAACATGACCATTTTCTTTCTTTTACATTCTTTTCATTTCCTTTTTCCCTTCCAACTGAAGTAGCATTATCTCAGGGCTACTTCCATTACAAGGATAATAGAAAAGGTGCTATAAATTAAAGTAAAAGGAAAAACCCTAGGGGTCAATTTCTACTCCAGAGAATTAATCAGAATCCTCATAATTAGGATGACATGAATTTACATTTTAAGCTCATGTGATTATCTGAAGCTAATTTCTTTTGAACACACTCACCTGAGACTTCAGTTTCTCCCTTTCGGTGGCATCTTTTAGTTGTTGAATTGCAGACTTAATTTTTTGGATTTCTTGATTTATTGTAGTTACTCGCTCACAGACAGCACCTCTTTTTTCTTGAACTTTATTGCAATCCCTACAGGGAAACAGTGACAGTTAATAGATAATTCCTCTTAAGTATCTAAAAAGGTAAACACTTAATTCTAATTTTGATTCCAAAGTGATCAGTGTTTGACAAAAGTAAAACTTTTCTCAAGGAACAAAGGGAAATGGATGAAAATCCTGAAATGTGATGCTACAGTCACATCATGATATACAGTAAAGTCTTCACCAAAAAGACATTCTTTAAAATGGAGATTTTTAAGTTACATTTCCCCAGTTGAACCAGCACAACTTTTCTGTAAGGCATTTGGCAACAAACACAAAGTCCTCAGGTTCTGCCCTTTTTCTTTATTTGTGTGAGGCAGTGTGGAGGAAATGCTCAATCCCTACTGAAAGAATGGCATCCTGGATACTTACGGGACATGTATTCTGAAAACACATTCTTGGGACTGATGGGGAGGAACTCTACTAATAATATCTCAACATATTGGCTAAAAAAAACCCCAATATTTAGCAAAGCATTAATTCTTCCTTAAACAGTAAGACTTTTCCTCAAAATGTGGCTGTGACAACTCTACTGGCCAGCTGGACCAGTGGACTTATCCTAATGCAACCACAGACCATCATCTCTAAAGTGCACTGAGGCTTCTGCCTCACTGCATTCCTGAAAACAAGATGGGTCATGAGCAGCTCTACTGGAAGCTACCCAGAAAAACTTGGCTAGGATTTTCACTCTTGCCACATCTGCTCAAACAGCATGGTCTAATACAGAAATATGGCCTCAATACGTGCCACCAATGTTTCCATCAACATGAAGGATATTGGCTTCACTAAGTCATGTTAAGTGATTTTCTTTGAATAGATTGTCCAAGACATCAATGCTATGGAAAACCATACTGGCTCTGTGTACACAAAATTAAACTTCAATTAAGAAAATATAGGGTGCTGAAAGAAGTAGTAACACCAATACCCTTTTGAAGAATTACACAAGGCACTACAATCATGGTATCTAGAAAAGGAAAAAAACCTCATAGCTAAAACACCTCCAAATCTAGACAAAGCACTGTAAGTTTCATAATTAACTCATCTGTTTTAGTCACCTGAAGGTAGAATACCTTCCAGAAAATATGCATATCGTAGTTTGGGACTCCTAGAGGGGGAAGATGTATTAGCTTTTTCTAATTACTTTCTAATGCACTAAAATTGAAAATAACTACATACTCAATTACTGAGCGTTTGTACTGCTTAACATCCTCATGCTTCTTATTTATTTTGAATTGTGCTGTAGCAAGTTTTTCCTTCTTCACAATCATCAGTCTTTTGAATGAATTTTCTTCAGTCTTCAATCTCTTCAGTTCTGACTCATCACTCTCAATTTGGTCCTCCAAATTCAGGCTCTATGTTTTAGGAGAAGTATTTGAAGTTAATACAACCAATTAAAGAAAATGAAAAAGTTATTATCTATGATAAGCTTTAGTAAAATATAATTTTAAAATGAATAAAACTGTTTAAACCCAGAAGCCCAGCAGAAAAATGCCACTCTAACTAAAGGAGACAACAAGAAGAAAGAAAGAACACAGTAACTCGAGAGATACTTTGATGAATTAACCTGAGCAAGGACAGGAACAGAGACACAGTAAGAAGATGGGCTCTGAGGCTAGGGTTGAGAGTCAGGGTCTGAGATAAGATGGTAGGCACCAGCATCCCATATGGGCACTGGTTTGAGTCATGGATGCTCCTCTTGTGATCCAGCTCCCTGCTAATGCACCTGGGAAAGCAGCAGAAAGCCCCTGGACCCACGTGGACCCAGAAGAAGCTCCTGGCTCCTGATTACAGATTGGCTCAGCTCCAGCCATTGCGGCCATTTGGAGAATGAACCAGCAGATAGAAGATCTCTCTGTGTCTCTATGTCTCTCTGTAACTCTGTCTTTCAAATAAAATAAATCTTAAAAAAAAAAAGTAAGTCCACATAATATTAAAAAAAACAACAAGGAAGGGTAGACCTTAAACAAAATGCAAAACAGGACTTGTCAATCTTTTTTTGGTGATTCCTGATGTCAGATAAGAGGAGTATGAAGTTAGGAAAGAATACCTCAGGTAATATCACCTTATTTTCCTCAAAAAAAAAAAACCAAACAAACAAACAAACAAAAAAAAAAACTGCTTTCACTAATATGTTAGTAATCCAGCAGGCAGTCTAGATTAAGATGATAGAGTTAAGAAGTGGAAAAGGATTTTCAGGTATCTAGCCTAAGAAACTTAAGTGACAACAATAGCTCTCATTCTTTAGGACAGAGACATTAAATGTCATAAACTTTAAATCTCTTTATAAATCTTAGATATGGGGCCAGCGCTGTGGTGTAGCTGGTTAAGCCACTGACTGCAGTGCCAGCATTCCATATGGGCACCAGTTCGAGTCCCAGCTGCTGTACTTCCTGATTCAACTTCCTGTTAATGTGCCTGGGAAAGCAGTGGAGGATGGCTCAAGTGCTGGTGCCCCGTACCCATGTGGGAGACCAGAAAGAAGCTCCTAGCTCCTGGCTTTGGCTTGGCCCAGCCCAGGCTGTTATGCCATTTGGGGATTGAACTAGAGGATGGAAGACCTCTCTCTGTGTCTTTCCTTCTGTAACTATGCCTTTCAAATAACATAAATTAAAAACATAAAGAAAATAAAATAATCTTAGGTACAATGTTGGATGCCATGCTGAAACTTTATGTTACTGATTATAAGATCATTTCCAAGTATTTTAACTCGTTTAAAATTACATTACAATTTTCCAAAATATACATGCCAATGGTCTATGTTCATTCTTATCCATTTCTTCTTAGGGCTAAAATAGTAGCTATTGCTCTGTTTAATAAGAAAACTGTCTTGTTTCCCAGTATATAGTGCTATATCAATTATACTTAGAACAATCTTTTTTTTTTTCCCCAGGAAAAGCTAATAAATGTGAAAACAAATCCAAGGAATTACAATAAGATATTACATAATAAAGACATGAAAACTCTACACCATACAAACCTCTTTTAAAATGGTGGTTAGTTTTTCCCTATTATCTGCAAGGTCCTGTATCTTCTTTTGATATAACTGCACCTCTGACTGACAGGATGGCAGGCGGTCTACTGAATCTCTGTAGATTTCATATTTTTCCATCACTTCTTGCTTTGAAAAAAGAAAACAGAGACCACAGTGTTATTCTCCTTTATGAAATGGCAATGTCAATTTTTTGCTCTTAAATAATTTCTGCACTTAAAACTGAAAGCTTCAGAGAACAAGTTTCTAAATCAGTAACCCAGCACTTTTACTGACAAGTGTCCATACACATATAATTATGCTTAACTGCCAAATATCTATCCTCAGACAAAGGAAAAGTGCCCTATTTTACTATAGCATTCACTGAAATATCTTCCAAGGTTATTTATGAAGACATTAAAATAGTTCACTCTGCAAATACTCAAACCACTTCTGATTATTACTGGGCAATCATATTACCATTTATAATCTTCCCATTCATTTACATAATTGTTATTACTACAGCTAGTTATTTTAAGAAGATTAATTCCTCTTCTAATATTTAAAAATGAATACACATTTACCATAACCACTGGAACAATACAAAGACTTCTCCCTTCTCCCCATTAGCCTGCCCCTTGTCCCACCTTATTCACCAGTTCTATATCCCTTCAGTGAGATGCCCAGTCGCATTACTGCTCAGTTTTCTATGATGTCTTTTTCTTGCTATTTCACGGATACTTCTTGCATATCAGACATAATCCTCTTACCTGACATATGCAATTTAAGTATGTTCCAATAGGCTTAGTTTTTGGGTTCCCAATCTTAATTTTTTTTTTAAAAAATCCCAGTTAAAGATTAAATACGTTCTCCTAAAATTGTTATATTTTATCTTTTAATACACAGAATTTATTTTTCTAACTGGCATAAGGGATAGACCCAACTACCTTTCCTTCAAGTTGAATATCTAATTGAAACAGAACTTTCTTTTAGATAAACCATCCTTTTCACCTATATATATATTATATAAAGCCATTTCTGGGCTCTCATTTCTATTATGATAATTTTTGTTTACTTCTGTATGATAATATTAATTATCAGGAGTGATCTTAGTAAGCTCAGAGATAAGCCATACATTTTTTCATCAGTAGCTTAAAAACCTTGCCTCATAAATGATGCTAAGTTGTCTATCCACTTCTAATTTTGTCCTATCCCACTTCAAACCACCTCCCACAGTGATCTCTAACCTTGAGCATACCTTGTTCCCTACTACTTCACAGAATTCATATATGCTAATCCCTCTGCCTTGAATGTGCTTCCATGTAAAATTTACTGATAAACTGTTAATCCTTCAGATATTAGCATACATTTCTACTTCCTTTCCTCTTCTGATTCTCACAATACTAAATTGGGCCCCCCGCCATAACATTATTTTAAAACACCCTATTTTTTCTCTTTGTGTTTTTTTTTTTTTAAATGGATTTTAATTTTTTGGAGCAGTTTTACATTTAAGCAAAATTAAACAGAGGGGACCAACATTTCTTGTACACCTTCAGGCTCCACACATGCATGCCCTTTACTCTGTCAAAGTACATACTATGATTTCTAATTATGCAACTGTTTACAAAATCGCTTAATATTTTTCTCCTGTATACTAAAATAACTAGATCTTGGGAGTACATAACTGTTGTTTTAAAGGAATTTATTGATATGTTAGATTCTCAGGGTCAACACAGTTGCATAGTAGTTACTACAACATGATTCTCATCAATTCACATGTTCAGAATATTTGTTTTCACCACTCACAGCAAAGTCTCAAAACTCTGCTACACAACTGATCCCATGTCTTGAAATTTTTCCCCCCTATATCTACTTTTAAGAAGAGCTATAACTGGATGCAAATTCAAAAAGTGAAAGAGGAAGAAAGTAGAGATAATCTAGGAACCAGAAAATTAACACAATTAAACAAGACTGGCCAAAAAGAAAACACATAGGAAAGAATTAAAATGAAAAGGAAACTCACCCTGGAATTTTTAAGCTTCTGGACTGTATCTTTCATTTTTTCTTTATAATTCTTCAGTTTCTCTGGAGAATCCACAATTTTTGTTTTCAAACTGTCTTGTATTTCTTTCAAAGAAACTACTGACAGCTTTAGTTCATTCTGTTCAGAAAACATTTTTATATATAATATATAATAAAATGGTGATTTACCACATCAATCATGGAAAAGAACAAAAAACTAGTCCCATATTCACTGTAGAGGGGTAAAATTAAATTTTGACCATATTACTGGCCTGCTTACTTGCTCATGAGTAACTCTATGCCAAAAGGCAAGCTCCCTAGCATGACACTCAAGCTCCTTCATTACACAGCTATTACCTTCCTTTTCAGTTTCATCTGTCACAAGTTGCCTACTATATCCTATAATATGGTAATAATTGTTTTTAGTTTAGACAATTCTAACATACCTTTTTTAAATTTTTAAAAAAATTTATTTAAAACTTATTTGAAAAAGTGACACACAGAGACAGAGGGAGAAAGAGAGAGAAAAAGCAGTATCTTCAAGCTGGTTCACTCCCCAACCAACCACAATGGCTATGGCTGGGGCAGGATGAAGCCAGGAGCTTGGAATTCCATCCCGGTCTCCAACGTGGGTGGCAGGGGCCCAAGTACTTGGGCCATCTTCCACTGCTGTCTCAGGTATATTAATAGGCAGGTAGATCAGAAGCAGAGCAGCTGGGACTTGAACTGGCACTGTGATATGTGATGCCAGTATTGCAGGTGGTGGTTTAATGCACCAAACCACAACTTCTAACTGCTAATTCTTTGATAAGTATGATTCTCCTAGAAAATCAGCATACCACTCCTGTCTGCCCATTGAATTTCTATTGATCCTTGAAAATCCTGCTACCATTTCCTTTACATTCCTTCTGTAAATAGCATAATTAATGTATTGCAAAGCTATAAATAAGGGTTTAACACCCGTTTCCAAATTGGCCATGCAATTTGGAGTTGTTACGTTATCTTTGCTCTCTGGGTCTCCAAAGAGCACTGAGAAGATGCTCAATAAATGTTTGTTGAATCAAAACAAAATCCTTGGGGCTGGTGCTGTGGTAGAGGAGGTAAAGCTGCTGACTGTAGCACTGGCATCCCATATAAGTGCTAGTTCAAGTTTCGGCTGCTTCATTTCTGATCCAGCTCCCCGCTAAAGTGCCTGGGAAAGCAGTGGAAGAAGTGCTTGTGTACCTGCACCCACGTGGGAGAACCAGAAGAGCTTGCTGGCTCCCAGTTTCAGCATAGCCCAGCCTTGGCCATTGTGCCCATTTGAGGAGTGAACCAGTGGATGGAAGACCTCTTCCTCTCTGTATCTCCCTTTCTCCATCTCTCTCTCTAACTCTGCCTTTCAAATAAATAAATCTTAAAAAAAAAAAAAAATTCCTTCTCATGAATTTCCCCCATAGAGGGAAGCAAAGTGTAGGCTATCCAGATAGTCTCTTAGAACTTTTCTGCAAATCTAAAAATTGTATATTAAAAAAAAACTCATATGAACCTTTTTTCTCAAATACTTGTTGATAGTGTATATATTGTTTTCAGATATTATGGTTCCACATACTGACATGAAAGAATTCTCAGCAATATTAAGCAAAAGAATTGATTCACAGATCAACATATAAAACAGATCAATTCTGTGAACAAAATTGTTTCTACAAAAAAACCGACTTGTTTCCACAAAAACAGAACCACCAAAGTGTGACAAGTGACTTTATGTGCATGGGATGTCACAGAGAAAGAACAATGTTACCTCTAGGTGAAGAGGGCTGGGAAAAGAACTTTAATTTGAGTATTTTATAAGATGGATGTTTTGTTACATGACTTCTGTCATTTGTCTAAATTTTAACTTAAAAAAAAAAGGTTCTTACCTTTTTAATGGCTAACTCAGAGGCCAAAACTGAATGTCTGAAATACTGCATTTCTGTTGTTTCTATATACTCCATCTTGGAGTCAGCAAACCACCATACTATCTACTCTTAACGCTCTACAAAATTAGTCATGTTGTTTAAAACAGTGTTGACTTTCACTACTTTTCTTCCCTTTATGAAAAGCTAAGCTTGATATAATTACAAGGTGATTTTGTTTTAACCTAGTTTTAAATGAGACAAAAACAAATGAGTAATAAAATTGAGCCACAGTCAGTACTACTCAGAAGAAGTCATTTGCCAATAAACAAAAAAATAAGACATATGATAATAAAGTACATTTCAGGTGTATCTAAAATATATGTGTTAAAATAATAGGGAAAACATGAAAGTAAAATGAGAAAACATACTACTGAAAAGTAGTAAGATGAATGGGAAAGGCCTTCCTATGTACATAATTAAAGTCCAATATGATAAAGACCATATCTATAAGACACATAATTAGACAGCTAACATCTCTTATTAACGGAGATTTTTTTTAAACAAGTAAGCTATATAAATAGTTTTAAAAATGAGAGTAACTGAGATGTAAAAATCAAATCACTGAGATGTAAAAATCACTAGAATTAAAGACATCAAATTAAAAACTGAAGCTTTTTTTCTCTGTAAGAGAAAAAAATGAGTATCAAAGGAAAACACTAAAAACATCCAATTTGGCAAGGGTGTAGAGAAAGGAACATACACGTTTTATTGAAGTTAGTTTCAATATGTGTCAACTGTAAATGTTTATTTCTTTTGACCCAGAAATCCTAAACTTGGGAATTTATTCTAATATAAAAAGCAGGAGCTGTGTTGTGGTGTAGCTGGTGAAGCCACCACTTGTGATACTGACATCTAATATCACAATGCCAGTTCAGTTCCTGGCTGCTCCACTTCCTACCCAGCTCCCTGCTAACGTGCATGGGAAAGTAGCAAAAAATGGCCCAAGGCCCCTGCTATTCACGTGGGAGACCTGGATGAAGCTAAGGGCTTCTGCCTGGCCCAGCCCCGGCCTTTGTGGTCTCACTTGGAAAGTGGACAAGCAAATGGAACACCTTTTTCTTTCTTTCTGTCCCTTTATCTGCCACTCTGCCTTTCAAATACATAAAGCAAATCTTAAAAAAAAAAAATCAATCCGATGCAGAAATATACATTAAGTTCAGATATATGTGTTTAGCACTCATATATATACATTTATGGTTAGCAAAAAAACAAGCAATGTAAGTACTGGGAGACTCAAATAATCCACATTATGGTACATATAAACAATGCATAACAATATACAGCCACTAACACAACAAAGATCTATTTGAAACTCCTGATAACTATTTGGACTATACTGTTAAGTCAGGATAAAAGGCAGCTTGGAACATATTGAATGTAATACAATTAATGTAAAGTTACACACATATATGTAAATTTGCATAAAGAATGAAATCTATGATATATATCAGATGGAGTGGTAAGAGCTCAGTTTTTTTTTTTATCTTCTTCATCCATTTCTATATTTCAATATTTTGTAAAACAGTAGACATCTGTTACATTCAAACTTAAAGTTTTATTTTCAAGGAAAAACATAAGAAATGTTTGATTAAATAACACACACTACTAAAATATTCCTCTAAAATACACAAACTTTAAATGCTAAAGTTGCTTACCAAGCGTTTGGTTTTCTCTGAAATCTCTGACTTCTTTTGGGAATTTCCTTCCTGCAGCACTATCTAAAGGAAAAAGCAGCACATGCTTTACAATAAATCAAATCAGATTCACATTCAGCCACTCACTGCTTTCTCATAAAATAAATGTAAGAAAGGAATTAAGTGAGTTAGATGAGATATTCTTAAATGTTCTCCATTCACAATGTCCATAGGCCAAAAAAAAACTAAGAGTTTCTTTACTAAGTAGTTAAGCATAAATAACCGTACATGTATATATATCCTAACAATAGGGAGCCCATGGAAAAAACAATACATAGTAGTTGAAAGGAAAAATATTTTTACCTTATCCTCAAAATAACCACCACTACTTCCAAATTGGATGTTTCTATATAAATTCACATACCTTGGAATCAGACTGGACATAGACATAATCACTTCCTGTTCCACAATGATTTTCATGATAATGCTTCTTTATTTTATTTAAGGTAAATAAATTTCATGTATTTCATATATACAGATTTAGGAGCACAGAGATACTTCACACCCTACCTCCCTCCTGCTCACACTCCTACCTTTCCTCTTCCTCTCTCATTCTCTTCTCTTAATGTCTACAATGAACTACTTTCAGTTTACTTTATCCGTAAGATTAACTGTACACTAAGCGAATAGTTCAACAAATAGTAAGAAAAAAAAAACACTATTGGTTGCTTTCTATTGTAGAAATTGCAATATGTAGAAAAAATCCAGCTTCACACAGATACGAAAGGAAAGTAATATGATCTCACAACAAAACTGCCATATGCTAATAATAGTTCAACAGGTAAATGACAAATGTTATTACAGGGTTTCCCAGGAAAATTCATAGTAATATCCGGAGGCACCCTTGAGGGTTTGCTGCAGTCTCCAGGTTGCCACAGAATGTAGTTTAGGGACAAGAGAATAATAAAAAATTGCATTCAACACTATAGTACATAATTTTGACAACACAAACCATCATGACTGTACATGGGCAAAACAATCACTTATCATTATAAGGAGCACAAATAGGCACAGCAATCAATATATTCCAATTATTTTGCAACTAATGCAATGTGCTCTTACCACCAGTACACGCCTTACCACATCTATAAAATTTTTTTTTAAATCTGAAGGTGTGTCACAACAGATACCGTTTTTTGACGGAACTCCTGATTCAGTGATTGTTGCAGCTCCTGAATATCATCTGTAAGTTGCTTAAACTCCTCTTGCTCTTCAACTGGAACAGAACTAAAGATAATAAATTAAAATAACGTTTATTCCTAATTTTGAAGGGTCAAAATGAAGTCCCTGCCCTTAAATAACTTAGATGAAGAAAACATTGTTTTCACTGTTCCTGAACTCCATCCTTTCCTATGACAGTCTACCAAAGAGAGAAAATAAACATCAGATGAGCTCCATTAATTTTCTACCATCAAATCTACAACTCATCTTCTACCACCTACCCCTTCTAACTCCATTTGTAATAAAGTGAAAATGCTATTCCTTTTCCTGTTCAATGCTAATTTCTCCCCTTCACTCCGGCTCTCATCTCTGGACATCTCTTACTCTCTCTCATACCATCCATTCCTCTGCTCTAGTCCTTGCAAACAGCACTTGGACATGCTCAAATCTCTTCCATGCTTATTCTTAACTTTAGTTCCTGCTCACCTATTAGCCATCTGTTTTCATACTCCTATAAGTTCCCAGTTTATAGCATTTGTCCATTTCTCTATTAAGTTACCTTTTCCTCTATCAGTTTGTATACTAGGATATTGCAGGGCTTTGGTTAATAGAGTTGGTAATGTTTTGCAGCATGTTACAAAGATTTTCTCCCATTCTGTCACTTTTTTTTTGATGTGACTTGTGGTGTCTTATGCTAAATTTTAATATCTACTGCCCTTTCCCAGTCTTTCAGCCTACTGCTGCTTATAAAGGCCATGTATACCAGGGGTAGGTTAGAAAAGGTCTCAACTGAAATAAAAAGCCTAAGGACATCAACAAATTAGAAAGGATATAATTAAAAAAAAAAAACTTTTGTTCAAAATCAATATAAATGGTCCCCAATTTAAAATGGCTCCACATAAACAATTTTTTCAACTCTGTAAGGACACAAGAGTGATAGAAACCCTACTAGGAATTTTGATCTTTCCTGCAATGCACGGTGTAAGACTTTTTTATGGTCTGAGCACAGCAGTGAACCATATCTCCTAATCAGCCACGTAATCGTGAGGGTGAACCACCAACACTCTACAGCGCACTACGTGGCTCAGCATTTTCAGATGTTCAGTACTGGGTGTATTAAATCCATTTTCAAGCTGTGGGATTTCCGGCATACAACTGGGTGGTATGTCCCGATAAACCCCTATACCAGGATATATGCAGTAAGAGGGTATATATATGAGGGTACTTTAAACAGTTTGTGGAAAATAGACTTAAAAGATTATTTTGGTGCAAAAAAATTGAAATTTATGCAAATGAAGAATTTTAAAAAAGTTTATTAAAATGTTTATGAAAAAACATGGATTTTAAAATTCTATGGTACCAAAATCACCATCTTTTTGGAGATGGTGTTGTGGTGTACCAGATAAAGCCACTGCCTGTAATGCCAGCATCCCGTATGGGTGCCAGGCCATATGCTACTGATTCACTTCTGATCCAGCGCCCTCATAATGGCCTGGGAAATGCAACGGAAAATGGCCCAAATGTTTGGGCCCCTGACACCTCTGTGGGAGAGCCAGATGAAGCACCTGGCTCCTGGTGTCAGCCTGGCTCAGACTTGGCCACTGCAGCTATCTAGGGAATGAACCAGTGGGTGGAAGATTCCTCTCGCTCTCTCTTCTCTCTGTATAACTCTTTTAAATAAATACATAAATCTTTAAACTTTTAAAAGTATTCTCAAATAAGGAAGGCCAAAAAGCATAATTGTTTATTGAGCTTTTTCTATGATCTGTGGGTCAAAAACAAAACAAAACAAATTCTGTCTTAGGAACAAAAATTTTAACAGAGTTAACAGATCTAAAGGAAGAAAGAGTCTGGACAGTTAATTCATCTACCTAAGATAATCCATATATAACTTAGGGAGGAAGTTAAGAGTTTAAACAAATCAGGCTAACATACTGAAGAGAAAGAAGCCAAAGAGTAAATAATATAATTAAAAGAATAAAAACTAAATTTTGTCTGTTTTGTTGGACAAGGCAAACTTAAATACCATTTACTAAAGAAGATAAAAGACACTCAAGGTGGACTCTAAGTTGTAAAATATAACTTACAATTAATTTTTCATTTAAAACTGCATTCACGTATCTGACACTTACTCAAGTCTCTCCAACTTCATTAATGCCTCCTGGTGAGCAGTATTTAACTGCTGCATTTTGTCCACAGAGGATTTCTATTAAAGCAATTTTAATAATATTATATTAGCGCTTTTCAACATAATCATTGACATATTTTTATTTCTAAAATCCAGAAGCACAAACTGCAAGAGGTTTACTCACTCTATAATTTTTACCATCAGAAATAAGAAATGTATGATAGTCATGCATTCATAACAAATGAATTAGACTTCTGTTGACCACTTACCATAGTTAGGTACTATACTAGGTGCTGGGAATTTCCAAGACTAGCTTATAATTCCTGAATTCCAATAGTTCAGTCGCCATTAAGAGTCAGATACAGGAATAAATGACTATAAAGCAGCTTGCTGCAGTAATGAATACAGTGGGGACAAAGAAGAAGTGACATCTAACACAATGTTGGTAATGGCTGAAGGTCATGGAGGGCTTTATACAGGTGACAGATGTCTGAGCTTTAACTTTAAAAATGAGGAGAAATTAGCCAAACAAAATCACATATGTGATGGTTGGCACATGCATGTGTAAACTCTAAAGAATGTGTGATCTCTAGGAATTACAAACTTAGCACGATTTGTACCAACTATTTATCTATAAAGTTCAGTACAGCCAGAGCTCAAGATCTAATTGCTTGATGTTACTTGTATGCTTTTCTGAGAGTCCAGAACTGAGGACAACTAGGTATAAATCACAGATTATCCAGAATGTTCCAACATGTTCTAAAGTATAGAAGGAAAGTACGTTTCTACTTGATAAAGTGATTGAATACATTGGACCAAGACTTATAGTGCAATGCGGGGCATGTGTGATACACAACTTGGTACAATTAGGCCAGTATTTAAAAGGCAAATAAAACTCAGCTATCTCAATTATTTAAATAACACTATACTACCTATGCAATATGAAAAGAAAAACTTATCAATATTCACTTCGCCAACATTTCCTAATACAGGAAAGGAAGATTAGTTAAAAGAATTAAACAAAACAACTCAGCCTTTCCCAAATGTTACAAATATCAAAGAAAATCTCATTCTAGGGTATGCTTTCCAGGAGTACAAAAATCTGCATCTTTATATAAATTCAATTCTAAAGGCCGTACAACAATTTCATACCCAAGACAAATATTTCAAAATAGATTAATAGCTCATAAATGATATTACTGATCTGGTATGCAAACAAAAATGTATTTAAGTCTTACATATTGCCAAAGAAATTCCATATATGTCTCACGGCAGGCTTCTCTGAAGTGAATAAAGTTGATAATGCCACTTAAAAACCGACTTGTCCGTTTTGCTTCTAAAATAGAAAACAAGACTCTTTTAAAAATATATCTTTAAAACAACCTAAGAACCAAAATTCATCCTCTCTTGCCACATACTCTGCTCATGGTGTATAAAATAAAACTGTATACACTCTAACAAAATATTGAACATTTGCTCAAACTTAAACATAAGAGTTACTTTAGTAACGAAGAAAAAAACCAGCAAATTACTCTTGGCCACAAGGAAATAAAAGGACCAGATTTATCCTCCCATCACAAACAACTAGAAAAACAGACACAACATAGGAAGTGACAAATTTCAGACAATGGACAACAGGCAATGTAGAACAGAAATCTCCAACAGAATCAAATAAATTCAATCCTGTAAATGCACCAGCCTGCACTGTGGAGAGTTTTCAGGCTATACCCCAATTAACATGTTATCACCACATGAATAAGTCTATCTATTCCTACGTATTTATTCAGAGAAATGAAAACATGTCCACACAGAGACTTGCATGCTAACATTCATACCTTTATTCAGAATGACCAAATATTACAAACAATTCAAATGTCTATCAACTACTCAGTGGATCAGCAAATTGTGCAATATACTTACAGCACTCCAAAATTAGAAGAAACAAAATACTAACAAAAGAAATACCATGGATGAATTTTAAAAGTATTATGTGTAAAGAAACCAGACATGAAAGACTACACTCTGTATGATTTCAAATGAAATTCTAAAAGGCAAACCCACAGTGACAGAAAACAGATTAGGGGTTGCCGGACAATGGGAGTGGCTGTAGGAGACAGCAAAGGGATGTGCAGGAACTTTTGGTGGTCATGAGAATATTCTACACATAACTGTGGCAGTGATTACACAATAATAAACATTCCTTAAAACTAGTCTACCTTTAAGTGGTGGATTTCTGTTGTGTGTAAATTATAGATTAATAAACAAAGACCCCTAAATGGCTAAGAAAAACCCAAATTTTTAAATAGCACACCCAATCTCCTGCAGCATAAAATGATTTGATGAATATCAGAAACAAATTAATGAAGGACACTTAAATAAACGTGGCAGAATTATACATTCTCATACAACATCATGACTATTCTTATTACTGCTAAGAGATAATTATTACATAGTAAAAAGTAATACTGCTATAATTTGGTAAAACTGGTATGATGCAATATCACACTTGCATATAATTTGTATTTATATTCTCAAGTATACAGAACATTTTTGATATGTAAGGACTTAAGAATGTTTTAAAAAACAGAATTTCTGCAAATTTACAGAAAAAACAATTTCAATAATAAGATACAATAAAATCACCCTACAAGATGGGATACATTTTCTAAAGCCATATTAAGTTTTTTTTGAACATTGACTGATGAAGAGTACAACAGCAGATTGAAGCCAGACACTAGAAATTGTTTTAAGTTTACACTTACTTGGATATAGAATATCAGCAATCTCAAAATCATTCACCCGGCAGATGGGCAGAAATGAATCCCTTGAAGATGAAGTGGAGAAAGAATATTGAAGAGTATATTATAAATTACATACTCAGCTACAGAAAACAAACCTCTTATCAAAAAGAGATTTCTCAATATCAAAGGACCAAATCAGAAGAAGTCTACTACAATGCATGATATAGCACTAAAATCTATTTTTTCTAGATACTACATAGATTCACACATAACAAGGTATAGTTACATCTTCTAATAACAACAAACACTCATAGAAACCCTAAGACACATTAAGAACTCAAAATCTTCCACAATATAGCAAACAGAATGGGGATTTGGCACAGTATTTAAGACACACCTTGGGTCGCCCACATTCTGTATCAGAGTGCCAGGTTCAAGTCCCAGCTCACCCACTTCCAGTACAGCTTCTTGTTAATATGCACCCCAGGAGGCAGTGGGCGACAGCTCAAATACTTGTGACCTTGTCATCCACAAGAGAGCCCTAGACTGAGTTCTGGTTTACTGCTTTGGCCTGCTCCAGTCCCTGCTATGGCAGGCATTTGGGGAGTGAATCAGCACTCCCTAATCTGTCTTTCTTTCAACATAAAGAAAATAAATTTTAGAAATTTTAAAAAGAAGACAGAAAGTTGTTGGAATTATACATTACACTTTTATCTGAAAGCCCCCTGAAAGTACCACAGTGGAGGCAGTTCTATTTGGTGGAAATCTGTAATTCTGAATGTATATAGGATGGAGGAGAATGGGAAATAGTAGACGTTCTTTCCCACCAAAAATTGTGCTAACAAAGTTTAATGGTAACATAAATATGAATGTAGACTAAGAATACTCACAGATGAATAAATAAATTACTGACTGGTAAGAAGCCTTCCATTATATGTGGATACATGACTTCCGAGTTCACTGGCATCTAAATGTAATAAATCACAAAATCTATGATACACATTGAACAGACAGCATGAGAAAAATCTTCAACTACAAGAAATCTTTAACCATAGATTAAAACCAAAATATATTAACTTATCATTAAACTGTTTAACAATTGAAAAATCCTAAATAACTCAGATCTTTAAATAATATGCAATAATATTGGTGAAATTCTAATAACAGTTCTAAGAAATTCTAACAATTCTAAGAAATTCTAAGATGAATTTTAGTGTATCTTCAAACGCTCTAATGATTTTACACTGAAACAAGATCAAGAATATTGACTTCCTACCAGAAATGCCTAATTAGCTAAAAGCTCAGTTGTCTCATGTCAATTATTTCAATCTTCCTGCATATCGTCCATTGTAATAATTTGGGAGGCCTACCTAAGGAGAGAATGACACCTATGAAGATTTTCCTGTTGTTTACTACAGCCTCTTGAAGGCAAACCCATAAATCTATGAGTAATCATGTAATATCAATAATTTGTGTCATTTACAGCTTTTATTCATTTTCATATTACTAAATTTACATAAACTACTCACTATTCTAAGATTCTTTTGCAGATTACATCAATTTTTATGTAGCACTTTGGACTTATTTAAAAAAAAAAAACTCCCTATTCAAAAATCCAGTATGAACTGTGAGAACTAGGAACTGTCATCAAAATACCATCATTTTAAACTCACCATGTAAAAATGCTCCAGTCGAATTCCATATACTATTTGTAAGGCTCTCATGTAAATCATGTGCAAGACTTCAGGCTATAACAGAAAAATCACTCTTAATGTCCTGATGCATGGCTTTAAAACTGTATCACTATCATTATTACCATCTAATATTGCAAAGAAAAAAATGACAAAATACCATCTCCATTGAAATTTCTTAATTCTTCTAAATTTTAAAACATCTTATGATACTCATCAGTTTGTTTATACCTCGCAAATGGTCAATGAGATCAGTTGTTTGAGAATGAAAGGTAGCATATCCAAATCCAATCTAAACAAATCAGCTATCTTAAGGAATGGAGGGAAGTTCAGTCTTTCAGAATAGGCTATCAGGCATGAGGTAGAAATAATGGAACACTGAGGGTGTATTTATTTTTCAATATCATGGAAAACCTGGGCTGCTGCTATAGATATTAAGGTATCCTTAGATTTAAAGTTTAAGGGAGTATTTGATCTAGGAGGCATAAATTTACTAGGGTAGTGTAAGACTTGTAAGATCTTCTAGATCAGCAACTCCCAAATACTGGCTTATGAATCTGTTCCGATCCATACACAGATTATTGGGTGAGCACTAAACTGAAAAATATAGGGAAAATACAGTGCTAAACTTTTCATAAAGCTAGATTTTTTTCAGTTTAAAGGCCTATCATTTATTTTTAGACTATTTCTTCTATTTGGAAGAATTAAAGTATTATAGAGATCAAAAAGTTTGAGTTCCACATCATTAAATTAGGTTTCACTATGCTATCACTTCAGTACAAGCACAGGAAACTGGAAGGAGACTCTGGGATTTTCTGTGACATACAAATAGTTCATTTTTGCATTTAATAACTAAAGATATAAAGAACAATGCCTGTCAAAACAAGCCAATTTCCCCCTCGGGCATAATGCACAAAAATTAATCTATAAACTTCCAAAGAGGATTGTTTCTAGGCATTTTTTTGTGGTTGGAAACCACTCGGAAAAAGTTACATCAAGCCTACCAATAAATGAGATCCTTAGACCAACACTCCAATAATATAGAAATTTAATATACTTTAATATCTATGGTTGAGAATTTTTTTTTAAAGAAAACAAGCATATTAAAGAATGGAATTCCTAACGGGAATGTAGAAGTTGCACCACATAACAAAATCAATGTTAGTTTAAAATTCCACCAGGTGTGAGATTTTCTCTAGATTAAAATGATTGGCCTACATCAAATAGGAGAGTATATGCCTTTCTTGCTACTTTATAAACCCAGAAGCTTTGTTTTCAAATGTCACTATCCACATTCCAATACAACCATATTTTACCTTTGGATTTGGATAAAGATCATTCTTGGAGAGGTTTTTACCATCAGCTCCTGTTAAGAACTTGTTGCGAATATGAATCACAATCTCAGCTACATTATATCTGGGGAAAGACAAAGTTTCCATCTTGGGAGACTCCTCTTAGTCTAAAGGAAGAAAAAACAAAGATCAGAATTACTACATAGTCATTCTCACTAACTAGAAACTGATAAAGACAAAATTAACAAAGCAAGGTTGCACTACTTACAGTAGTAATAATAATCAACAAATACACTTATAAGATAAAAACAAAAGATATATAGATAGATGGACATACTCCTTTCTAAAGTACAGCCATTTTCTCCTAACTTTCCTAATGATATTCACTTCTGCATGGAAGGGAGGACTTTGGCTGAATAGACAGATGAGAAACCATGTATTTCTTTTTTATATTTGGGGCCAAGGGGTCCTGCAATCAATATTGAGAAATAATCCTCAAAGTAAGGCACAGAAGCCGCACCATCAGCACATATATATACATATATATGCTATATATAAGCAATATATATAATATATATATGCTATATATAAGCAATACCAACACAGGGTAAGTAAATACTTTCTGATTTACATCCTATTCAACATACATAATGTGGTGGCTAATAAGGCTTGATATGGAAGTTGGAGAGACAAAAGACAGAATAAATTAAATGATGTAATTGACAGGAATTCCTATCATCAGAGTGTGAATTTAAAGAAAAATAAAAGCACCAAAACTTATTTTCCCTACTGTATTCAGACAAAGAATTATTGGTACCCATGTCTCTAGAAGAGTAGTTCTCACAATCCTTCCCCCCTCATCCTTTCTGGGACCACATTTGACAATATTTGGTGGCATTTTTAGTTGTTAGGACAGGAGTGGCTATTGCTATTGGAAACTAGAGAGTAGAGGTCAGGGATAAAAACAACCTACAATGCCTAGGGTGAACTTACCCTTTCCCCCAGCAAACAATTATTCAGTCCAAAATGGCAATAAATTTAACAGTTACAGGATTTGTTTCTAGAACTCTAACACTACAGAGCTTTACCTGAGCCTGATAGAGTACAATAGGAGCGTTAACAGCAGCAATAGGATGCTAACAGCATTAGCAGCCAGGATCCTAGCCACTCAAACACCTGTTTAATTACCTACAGATTCCTCCCCTCCAGGGAAACAGGGAGGCCCAAGACCCCGCGTGATTATGCTCAACTCTGCGAAGAACCTGAAATGGCCCATACCCTGGAAACCCATTTCTTTGGCTTCTAATGTTTCTTAAAATATCAGGATTAAAGAGAAGCTCTGACAACTTTCCTAACCTCAAATCAATGTAGGAAGCCATTCTAAAAGGTGACCACCATTCTGCGGGAACACAAAAACATCTAAGAGTCCACTAGTTCTGAAAAAATTTGTTTCCACTTAGATAACTCTTCCTCATGCTTCATAGAAACGTTTGTTGTAACTTCCACTTGCTGGTCTTATTTCTAGTGACTACCACTACATAGACGGTATTAATCCCTGTCTGTAGACACTGCTTTCAAAAACGTGAAGAAAGCTATCAACCTCTGCGAAGTTCTCTTTAGAGTATACACAGCTTCTTTACCTAAAGCCACTCCATATATGATATTGTTTTATAAACATGGTTCTCTCTACGCTGCTCTAGCTCAAGAGCAATCAACATGGAAGATTTCTGTGAACAATCCTGTGTGGGTTTTTCCCTACACACCTGGCAATCAGTCCTCTGCAGTCACCAGCTGGTGGTCCTCTAATGCAGTTCACTTCTAACACTCACCTGCAGTCAAATTCCACAGGTGGAGGGAGGGCTCAGTTTCCAAGGCTGCAGCACCCCTCACCCACTTCAGACACCCAGTGAAAGCCCCAGGTTGTTTTACCTGTGCTGTGGCCCACCAGCTACAAATCGGGATCCCCACGACCCTCTCCTTGGGTTTCATTAATTTACTAGAGTGATTCACAGAACTCGGGGAAATGCTTATTTTACTGGTTTTTTACAAAGGATACTGCTACCAGCCATCATTAGCACACAAAAACACAACAAGCAGCAAAGAGTCCAAGCACTTTATAAGCTATATATCAGGAAACAGGGATAAAGACTAAATATAAATTTCAAGATATCACACCATCCTACTTACCTTCCTCTCAAACACACTGTTTTATGTGTTGACCAAACTGAACACAACACTCCAGATTTAGTCTGCCTAGGGGAGAGTACTCCTACCGTAGGCAATGGCCTCTGGTGATCTAGTCTACAGCCATCCTCACTACTTCCGGCAAACACATGCTTATGATCAACTCAAACTTAAGAACCTCTTCAACATGACCCACTTAGATGAAGCCTGCACTTCTCCATGTTATTCTTAGGTAACTCATTATTTTAACCTTAGGCAAGGGCTTGTATTTCTACTAATAAACCACATAATCGTAAGCTTTCATTCTAGAGCTTGTTATCTTTTTAAATCTAGACTCTGGCACCTCCCATAGTAGGTGTCCCTTTCAGCATTAATATATACATATATATATATATAAATATGCATCCTATATTTTTAAAGTCATACTTTAAAAACTGTTGATGAAAGAACTGGGCCAAAGACTACCAAAAAAAATCATTTTCCAAAACAAGCCACATCTGGATTAGAGATTGCCACAACAGGAAGAGCAGGTGTGAAATACCTCGTAATTCCTATCACACATCCCTTTCCTCTCACATGCTTTGTACACTCTGCTTTTAGATTAATCCTAATACAACATAAAAGGCATCATGTAACATCTACACAAAAATACATCAATTACTTTACCCACTAAAGCAAATTCCGACTTTTCTGCTTGGTTTCTAAAACTTTCACCAATCGAATGAACTTCTGGCTACAAGTTAGTCTCCTCCAAGCTTGATTCCCAAAGGGCCTCCTGCCACATCCAAACCCTATCCTTCCTCCCTAGAACAATCTCAGGTCCAGTTCACTCATCGATACGTGAGTGCGGGGGAACTGAGGAAGACGGCCCTTCCAAGCACACAGTCTGAGTGCATGGGCAGGACAGTACATGAAAAATGACCCTTCGACGGCTGAGCAAGCAGCCGAAATTAACTGCTACTTGCTCCTCGGGTTTCTTCTTTCTTTGCAACACCAAGGTGCTGAGCACAGGTGTTGGAAGAATGTCCATTACGTTTCACACACTGCGTTTTGCCAAAACTGGCTTGCGGAGATCACAATTCAACACAAACAGAAAGGACTCCCAATCCCAATGAATTAAACACAAAAGTTCTTCTGAACGCATACGAGGGTACCCAAACAGTTCGTGGAGAACGGAATTAAAAAGTGTGTTTTGCTGCAAACATTTTTTGAGAACCATGCATAGGAGCGAGGAAAATGATCCCAGTGCCACTCACACGCTGCCCTCTGACTTGGATGAGGTATGATAGCTTTTCCTTTTGCTTCATGGTTTTGGGATTGGGTTTTGATTAAGACATACTGAAACAACCAAGATCTGGCCTCTGCACCCGAACAAGCCTCGCTGTCAACCCCCTTCCTGATACACGGATTTTTAAATACACAGAAACACAAGCTTAGCCTGACCAGCTCCAGGTCAACTCGCCCCACAGTCTATGCCACACCCGATAACAGCCTTAGCTTCACTGGCACTGAGCTCGGTCTGTTCCTGGACTCAAAGAAAAAGGAGCCGCAGGCAAGCCCCACCCTCCAGGAGCGCGCTCCTCCGACCCGGCGCCCCGCACCACGAAAACAGCCAGGCCGCGGTCCCGACGCCAGAGGCGGCCCGGGACGCCCTCGGCCTCCCTTCCTCCCGCGTCCGCTCGCGCTCACCTACCGCCGCAGCCGCCCGCAGGAGGGCGGCAAATCCCGGTAGCAGTCACGGCCAAGTCAAAACTCAGCAAACACCAACCGTTGTCACTTTTCAAAACTGCCGCCTCCTCCTGGAAGTCCCGCCCCGTCCCGCCGAGCGCACTTCCGGCCGCGCCGGGTGCCGGGTGGGCTCAATAAGCCCTAAGTGGGCGGTGCTTGCAGGCGCGTGCCGGGCTGCGCGCGGAACTAGTTTTCGCGGACTTGGCGTCTAGTCGGACCCTGGCCTCGGCAGGAAGCGTGGGGGCTGCGGCTTGGGGGCGGGTCCGGGGTTGGGCATTCGGTGGGGACCTGGGACTTTACCGAGAGGGTGCCCAATTGCAGGGCAAAAGTTAATGGAGGGATTAAGGGCACTATGGCTGAGCTCAGGGTGACAAGGGAGAAAGAACTCGGGGCTTGCAGTGAACCAGGGGTAAGTCAAGAGTCCCAGAGTTAACAATACCGACGTTGCTTGAGCGTTGCCGAGCCGGGTGCTGTGGCAGAACTTTTAGGCATCACCCCCTGGAAGCTCCAGTCAAGTGCTGGTGCGAGTGGGGGAAGGCAGTTAGACACCGTCAGCATCGCCTCGTAAGAGGGCGCCGATAGACTGAGCGGATTACGTATGGCCCTCAGCCGGGTACAAGAATTTACGGGTAGCCTAGCCCGGTTATGGACGCACAGCCTCCAGACCTTATTTCCTAAGCGCGACTTGGAGGGGCAAAAGGAACCCAGCCTTGCGTCTGCTCAAATCTTCCGTTACAGCCACGATAACTGGGCTGAGAGACAAATGGGTTGTCCCTCGTTACAAAGAAAGTGACACTACCTGGAGTAGATCCAGGTCTCGCAACCTTAGCTTCTCTCTCTCCCTCCCTCCCTCCCTTCCTCTCTCTCTCTATCTCTCTCTCTCTCTCTCCCCCTCCACTCCCTCTCTCCCCCTCCCTCCCTCCACTTGGAGCCAGGCACTCGGGGGCTTCCCACCGCTGACTGCTCCCCCAACGTGCCCTTCCCGAGTGTGTTGGATTCTACCAAGGAGGAGCTGCACCTCTTGTAAATCAGGATCTTGCTCCAGAGGATGTGCCAGGCCTAACTGCGGGGGAAACTGGGGGTGGGAATATGTGTAATTGAGGTTTGGGGCAGCCGAGAGCTTGCATCTGGCTGCAGGGTAGAGCATTCTCCCGTGAGAGGTCTGTTTAATGGGGAGTCTGGGACTCCCCTCCCATACAACAGTTTAATTCAATGTAATTGGTTCCTAAAGGTCCCACCTCTAAATCTGTAATAGATTAGTTTCCACCTTCTTAATACCATTAACATAAGACTTTGGATGGGAAGCCCATAATACATGGGCTCTATGACTTGCCCCTGGTTCTTTCTCCCTTGTCACCCTGAGCTTAGCCATAGTGCCCTTAATCCCTCCATCCAAACTAATATACAAGCCATAGCAAAAGCCAACTTCAGAATGCGCCATAGGGAAAGAGGAAAATGAGATGAAAAAAGAAGAAAAACAAGACAACCATTTTATTGTATCTATAGTAAATAAATGTGAAATGAATGTGCCTTTTAAAATTTGGTTGCCTGATACCAAATTGTCAGTGCATCGGTGTGAGGTGGAGGTTGGAAGGACAGATTTCTCACCCTACATTTTCTAGAGTTTTGTCATTGTCCATAAAGACACTGCTGAGGAAAATTAAACTACAGTACAAAGATGCTCCTTGACCTGTGATGAGGTTATAGACTGATAAACCCACTTTAAGTCAAAAATATAAGAGTTGAAAATATGTTTTTTATATAACCAACTTACTAAACATCATAGCAACATATATGCCTAAGTCGGGTTGTTTAGGTTTTCCCCCTGCTAGTGATTGCATACCTGACTGGGAGCTGCAGCTTCTTGGTTCATAGCCGCCGGCTGGCATCGCAAGAGAGAATCATACCGCATAATGACCAGCCAAGGAGAACTTCAGAATTCAAAGTATGATTTCTCTTGAGGGCATGTCGCTTCTATACCATCGTAAAGTCAAAAAATCCTAAGTGGAACCTTGCATCAGGGACCAGTCTAGATTCTTCCTGTAAGCATCATCTTTATCCTCTCCTGTATTTCCTCTAACCCTGTATCTGCTCCTCTATTTCATTTTCTCTGTCAGTTCTCTTGCTATTACCTCCTTTCTCAACCTACGTTGCTGCTTTATCTGTATCCAGATTCCCTGTGTCCAGTGATCTGACCCAGGTGCCTGTCAAACCGTAACCCTGAAGCTAGCCTGAAAATCCCCAGGTTGAGCACCCTGGAGAAAGTAATGCAAAGTGATGTTTGTCAGATTCTTAGTCCCTAACTTCAGCTTTGCTCTGATTCATGGCAGTCTTAATTTACCATTAGTCAGCTTCCTGTCCTGTAAATTTCAGCAATTTCTCACAAGTCTTACCACTTTTCTCAATCCCCTTCCCAGACTGTTAGAAAGTGACCAGGGTAGTTGAAAAGGTATATTTCAGACACTTATTATTCATCTGCATCTGCAATGTGCTGTACCTGTTCCCTTCCTAATTTTAAGTCCATGCTCACTTTCTAGATTACCCTTTAAAGACTTTATGTCAGCTCTGAAAAGACCAAATGGACCTTCGAAAGACAAGACTGGGATGCTCACTGAGACTATGGTAGTCTGCTGCTGTTGGGACTCTATCTTTCATACAGGTAGTGTTCCTGTGGTAGCTACTGCTTTAAATCAACCTCCTTTTTAAACAACAAGAATTCCAAACTGTTGTTTCCAATTTGCTTTCAGCAGATTGGTAAGGAAAGAAAATTGATCCATTAGGTCTAATGTGGTACGAACAGGTGAAACGCTAAAATTCAGCTCTATACCCTACTAGCTGTCAGTCACCTATTCATTTGACTAGGAATTACCAAGAAGGTACATTTTCAGTACCTTCTTCCCAATTAATTGAGAGAGAAAAGCCAACATGAAACATACACCTTAAATTCTGCCTCCTCATTTCAATGTGAAATTTATCTACTTATTTCTTATTTTCCTGTCTCAGAAGATAAAATTTATTCCCTCTACCAATGCTATTGATCACTACTTTTCTTTCTAGACCTTTATTTTTTTCCCTCCTAGACTGTTATACTATATATTCTTTACAATAGATCTGTCCCTCCTTGAAAGATTACTTTGGGCATCCCCACACCCTCTTCCTCCTTTTTTTTTTTCCTGTATGTATCTTATTGGGTTCCTTTTCTGTTACAACTAGCATTTAATATGCAAGGACCAGTGTTGTGGCACAACAGATTAAGCTGCTACTTTCGACTCTGGCATCCCATATCAGAGTGCTGTTCAAGTTCCAGCTATTCTGCTTCTCATCAGCTTCCTCAAAATGAGCCTGGGAAGACAGTGGGAGATGGCCCAAGTAGTTGGACCCCTGCTATCCATGTGGGAGACCCTGATGGAGTTCCTGACTCCTAGCTTCAGCGTGCCCAGACCTGGCTATTGCAGCCATATGCGGAGTGAACCAGTGGGTGAAAGACTGATCTCTTTCTCTCCCTCCCTTCCTCTCTCTCTTTTTCTCAGTCTCTCTTCACCTATTGTTGCCCTGCTTTTCCAATAAATAAATCTTAAAAAAAACATTTAATATGCCAAATCCTTTATTCACAAGTGTCGGAATATCCTTTACATTTATTATCTGTAGTTATGAATTAATAATAAAATGTTTAATATTTTTATATGTTTTGAATTAGTATAATGTACAATGATATATAAACAGTTGGGGCCCTGATAAACTGAAAACAAACTAGTATTTAAACATTAGCAAATTATTAACATTTTTGTATGCACAGCGCATTCACTAGGTGGCGCTGTTGTATAAATGATAATCTTAGAGAGTTTTCTGCACTTTCTCTTACATAAGTAAACAGTGATAAACATTGAACACAGTGTTCTGTTTGAAAAAAGAGTCTAAATTTATTGACTTCAAAATACATGTTTGTACTTCAGGCTTAAGGAGAAAAGCAGCACTGAATTCAAAGTAGCTTTCTGCTTTTTACCCTTTCACTCCACTATGTTTTTCTTTATTAGTTTCAGTACTTTAAAAAATTTCTTTAGTCAAGATACAAATGGAATTTTTAGTTTGAAATCATAAAATATTATCCATTGATAACTTGTGATGAGATCTAAGCCAGATCCAGGAATGCAAAAAATCGGTAGTATCCTTTCCCCAAAGTTTCACATCAAGCTGTATTATGTTAATAGTACAGGGGGCTGGTGCTGTGACACAGTAAGCTAAGCCTCCACCTGTGGCACCAGCATCCCATATGGGTGCCTGTTCTAGTCCTGGCTCTCCTCTTCTGATCCAGCTCTCTGGTATGGCCTGGGAAAGCAGCTGAAGATGGCCCCAGTGCCTGGGCCCTTATACCTGTGTGGGAGACCCTGAGGAAGCTCCTGGCTCCTGGCTTTGGATCAGCCCCAGCTCCAGCTGTTGCATCCTTTTGGGGAGTGGATCAGTGAATGGAAGACCTTTCTTTCCCTCTGTAACTTTACCTCTCAAATAAATGAATAAAATATTTAAAAACAAGTCATTAAGTTATTATATAACTTATATAAGTTATATTAAGTAAGTTATATTATATAACTTACTTAAAAATACAGAAAAGTTGAGATTATCAGCCAAAACAAATTTAACATTGTTAAACTATCCAATATGACTTTTTAATTTAAATTTTATATTCTATATATTTCCAGTATTGTCATTATAATATCCAGAGGTGTTTCAGTTATTTAAAAGGAATTAATGCAATAGGAAAAATTATAATTTTCAAAAATTATTTTCCTATTTGAAATGCAGAGACAGAGAGAGATCTCTCATCCACTGGTTCACTCCCTGAGTGCCTACAACAGCCAAGGAGCTGGGCAGGCCAAGCTACACACCTGGAACTCTATCTGGGTCTTTCACGAGGGAGTGGGACAGGGGGAAGAATCCTAGTACTTGAATCTCATAGGGTACACATTGGCAGAAAGCTGAATCAGAAGCAGAAGAGCCAGGACTGAACCAGGCACGCTGATATGGAATGTGGGTATCCCAAGTGGTGACCAACAGCTGCACCAAACACCACCCCCTAACTCTAATTTTGAAACTAATCGCATACATTTTAGAAAGGTGTCTTAGTCTG